GACTCGGTGCTCAAGGATAATCCCTGTCCTTGGGGGACCCTATGGGATGCCGAGGATCTAAACTAGGTTGGCCCTACCCTACCTGCTGCATTATCTCTCTGGCCGGACACTTTTTTTCTTATGAAAGAATAAAGAAAAACTCTTTTGTGGAGAAAAGGTTTCAAATTGGCAGCTCTCTTCAACCTTCAGAAGAAAGAGCTGTCTGATCTATGATATATCTAGTCAAACACCTATTCCCACTACTCCCACAGTTTTTAACTTCTTGGATAAAAGTCTGTGACTTTATTTCAACATGTACCTAGCAAAGCATGTCTAAACAAGGTCTGTAAGTTGTTTCTTGAAGTTTCTGTCCACCCTAAGATTCAAAATACTATTAATAACTATTATTAAGATTCTGGAACTATAGCTGGGGAAAAGAACTTTCCAGTGACTTGACAAAGACTGGCAAGAATATTCTATTGCTGAATTTTGTTTCCACAGAAAGGATAGCAGGAAATATCATGTAGAGAGGGAGCCAGGAGAAGTTGACTTGACCCCAAGTTTCTCCAGCTGGGAGTGGAAATGCCATACCTGTCTCTGTGGCTTCCAGTACTCCAGAGGATTTAAAGCTTGGGAAACAGAACAATTCATCCATAAAACTTAAATTAGGAAAAAGAAGCAAATCTAAGTCTTCTACTGAATTGCAATTCCATAGGTTTGCTAGACTGAGGCACAAAAGAAAGAATCTATGACCACGATTTAAAAGAAAGGGGTGGGGATGACTTACCTTGTTGTATGGATATAGCTCAAGTAGTGAGGCGCTTGCCCAGTATACAAGAGACCCAGAGGTTAGTCCCGGGTACCTCATGTTCTTCCTCACCTAGCTCTACTGGGTGTGCACCCTATTTTTTAAAATTTTATTCATTTTGGGGCTGGAGCAATAGCACAGCTGTAGGGCTTTTGCTTTGTGCACAGCCAGCCCAGCCGAGATGGGTTCGATTCCTCTGCCCCTCTCGGAGAGCCCGGCAAGCTACGGGAGTATCTCGCCCTTCATGGTAAAGCCTGGCAAGCTACCCGCGATGTATTTAATGTGCCAAACACAGAAACAAGAAGTCTAAAATGGAGATGTTACTGGGCCCGCTCGAGCAAATTGATGAACAATGGGAGGACCGTGTTTGTTTGTTTGTTTTCATTTTGGTCAGTAGCTAATCATCTTGAGTATCTATAAACATTACTCATTTTTGAATTATATTGTATATATTCCATATTCAATTAAATTGTTGCTATACCACACCTTCATCTATAATATTCTAAAAATACCGGAGTTTCTTTTTTTAATCTATATGACATTTTTCCTATTAATATCCCCTTTTTCCAGATCATGTAGAAATCTTCCATTTGTTGAAATTCATTCTCTGTCCTAAGCCAGTCACATTAAAATATACTCCAAGTATGTAATGAAATTTTAAGTCATTAATTTTTCACCCCAAATTTATACCAGCCTCATAAACATGCAAGGGTCTGTAGTCTGAGACATTGAAACTGAAACCCAGAATTTTTACATAGTTTTAACATAATGTCAAATCTCTCTGAGAACACAAAAGCCATGGGCATGCCATAAGAGCCATCAAACAGGACTCCACTGTGAAAACCATAAAGCTAATTATTTTCTCCTCCTTGGGCGCTTCACTTGACTTGAGGAAATAGCGTGTGGACAAATGTTATATTCCAGAGGAAAACATATTAATAAGAAATAGTAAGGCTTCGAGTTGTTATTTAATCTCACATAAACCCTGCAGTGAGTACTATATAAACCTTACTGTAGAAAGAGGTTGACTCTGAGAAGCCAAGTTCATGTGCCTAGAGAAGCCGTAATATGAGCAGATATTAAACAAGCAGACTATGAGCAGATAGCGGCTTGTTAGACTATTTCTTGTGCTCAATAGCACAAAAGAAAAATCCATCCGTGATCAAAGTAAATGAATAACATACGGCAGAGCTTTTAGGAGTCAGTATCAGTCCAGAGGGAGCCAGTGAATTGTATTGAAAAGTAGAGAGTGGCCAAGTTAAGAAATACTAAAAGCGGAAGGACAGAAGACTCTTTTCTCCGTTAGCAGCCTGAGTTGCACTTCTATGTCCCCTGGGCCCTGAGGACCCAAGTCCAATCGTGAACGGAACTGCCTCATCTGACTAGTCCAAATGTGCACATTTGAGACTCTGATGGCTTTAAACTTTAATAAGCAGCTCCTGTATTACAACCTTGCTGGACAGTCTCACAAGTCATTTATATCTCGTTTTACTTGGAAGAATCTTTCCCACTGACAGAATTATTGTCATCTGGCTGACAAATGTTTCCTTAAAAAAAATTTGATTAAGCCAAATCAATCGACAGAAACAGAAGTATGGAAAAAACTCTATTTAAATGAAATGCCATTTTTATCAAAATCATTTCAATAATGTACTGTTAACTACTGAAACTACTACCATAAACTATCTTGGCACAGAATAGACAGAAGCCTGATGTATTTGTAATATAAAAAGACCATTTTAAACTCGATTGTGAATGGCTCGTCTAGGGCATTTGTATCAAAACATTTTTAATTCAAAACAAGATCTGTGCAACTCCGAAGTAGTAAAAGAAAAAGGTAGCCTTCGAACATGATTGCCACTCAATGCCTCCTTTTCAAACCACAGCACCCGAAAGGAGAGAGAGAACAAAAGGGAATGTCCTGACACAGAGGCAAAGTGGGATAGGGGGTGGGAGGTAGGAGGGATACTGGGATTAGAGGTGGTGGAGAATGGGCACTGGTGGAGGGATGGGTACTCTATCATTGTATAACTGAAATCCAAGCACAAAATTTTGTACGTCTACAACTGGACCTCAAGGTGTTTCACTAATAAAAATAAAAAATAAATAAAAATTAAATTAAATTAAAAAAAGAAAAGAAAAAGGTATTCTCATACTTCCTTTAACCATTTTGATCCAGAACAATTGCAGTTTGGTAGGGAAAAAAATGTTTCCTGGTACTCAGATTCAACTTCTGTACTGTTACAATTCACTGAAAAATTCTGCCTTTTTTTTGAAATTCAGATACTTAGTAGTGTGCTCTTACAGCTCTCTGCTGTACCCAGATTAAAGTTTGCACTCACATTTATCCTTAGCTGATTTAATTTTAAAGTGTCAGCCAGCCCTTGTTATTATAACATTACTTTAAGCTGGTTGACCATAAATGCTCATCCTGCATTCTTAGCTAACCAAAGAATCATCCTGATCTACTCTCACATAGTCCAGTGACTACAGCAAAAGCAAAGTCCACTAATAAATTCAGGGGAAAGAGGCATCCAAGCATACTCCACTGGCAAAACTCATTCCATTCTTTTTGTTTTCTTCCTCTGGAAATTAGATGTTTGAATTTTTTGAAGATCTCACCCACATGTCTCATTATTGTACCTTAAAGGTCATCAACAGCCTCACCTGCTCAATTATGCACTATACAAGCCAGTCAAGAATTCACACAATAGAATCATAAAAATAGGTATTTATTATCACAACTCATACATTGGTAAGTGAGGGGGGTGTTTTTATAAAATCAAAGTACTAATAGTTTTCAAAAAAATAGTGTTTTTTAAAAGGGCTCATAATTTTCTAATTCACATTAAAGGACTCTAGATTAGCAGTGTTCTTGCCACATATCAATTTAATTCCAATGATTTAGGTGAATTACTCAATTGACCTCAAAATAAATGCAAGAATTTTTTTTCCTCTTGAAAGGTCTTTAGACAGAGGAAAGAGCTAACAAAGAACCCATACATCTCCCAGAAACATAACTTAAATCACATTTTTTCTTTTTAAAAAATAAAAAGATGTTTTGTCAATACCTACTTATACACCAAGGAAAGAAGGTCACACAAACTTTATCTCCTTTATACATTAGAAAGAAATATTCAAAATTATACACACACACACACACACACACACACACATGAAAAAAAACTACAAGAAGTTCTTTAGGGGAAGGGGAGGAGGGTGAATAAGAAAGAGGATCAAAGGGAAAAACATTAAGGAGGGGTTAGGAGTCAGGGCAAGGAAGGAAAAAAGAATAAAAGAAAGCAAAGAAATGTGTGTGTGTGTGTGTGTGTGTGTGTGTGTGTGTGTGTGTGTGGAAATAGATGGTCACTGTCACTGTCCTCCCGTTGTTCATCAATTTGCTCGAGCGGGCCCAGTAACGTCTCCATTGGAGACTTTGTTGTTACTGTGTCTGGCATATCGAATAAGTCACGGGGAGCTTGCCAGGCTCTAAAGTGGAAAAAGACAAGACATGTAAAAAAGCTATAGCAAGAAATATAATCGTTGAAAAAATTAAATATAAATTTGATACACACTCATTGAAGAATAAACTGATCTCTTTTTTCTTTATTTTTCCTCAGCTTATAGGGGGAAAGGTTTTTCACATGCTAATTGGGCATTATCCATTTACCATAGAACTTTATCCAATAGCCCCACGTTTTCCAAGATGCCGTTTGTAGCAACCCACCAGAGATATACCTAATTTCTTGTCCAACTAGTAAGATGACTTGGCCAAACAATTTAAACCAAAGCAAAAAGATAAAAGTGAACTACTTTCCCTGAGGGAACCATTAGTTTCTGGTATTACTTGAATAGCTGTGAACAGACAAAAAAATAGAAAAGATGACATTCTAATTCTATAAGAAAGTATGTTCAATAAGAGATAATAAAAACCCAGTATGCTTGGATATGGAAAAAATCATTCATTTATTTCAATAAATAATTATAATAGTTTAATTATAGTTTGTATGGTGAGCTATTAAGAAATATCTTGGTTGAATACCTAAAAACATTATTTTAATTAACGTGTGAATATCTAAGAATAAATAACTATTATGGTGATTTCACAGATCATTAAGCTGGCCTAAGTCCCACCACTTCCTCCTAATGATTCACACACACACACACACACACACACGTATCTTCTGGTGACAATTTTTATTATTTTCCACAGTGCTCCTACATACCTAAGTGTGGAAAAAACTTTGAAGAATCCATGTCCCTGGTGAACGTTGTCATGGAAAACTTCAGGAAGTACCAGCACTTCACCTGTTATTCCGACCCAGAAGGAAACCAGAAGAGTGTCATCCTAACTAAACTCTACAGTTCCAATGTGCTGTTCCATTCACTCTTCTGGCCCACATGCATGATGGCAGGGGGCGTGGCAATCGTTGCCATGGTAAAACTCACACAGTACCTCTCCCTGCTTTGTGAGAGGATCCAACGGATCAATAGATAAGAGCAAAAATGGATGAGATTCATTTCGTTAAAGCTCAAATACTGTTTTCTTTCATTCTTCACCAAAGAACCTTAAGTTGGTAATGTGCAGTCTGTTATGAGTTCTTTAATATATTCTTATACGTAGAGCAATAATGCAAAAGCTGTTCTATATGCAAACATATTGTTGTCTTTGTTATTCAGAGGAAGAATAACTGTTTTATGTTGGTTGGTTGTTTTCAAACTCTTGTTTATTGTTGGAGTTAGTACTTCCTTCTCTCCTTCTGCCAAAACAGGGCTCAGTTACTCATTTGCCAAGCTTTATGGAGGAATGTAGACAAAATCAATGTGATTGGACCTGTGTTCTGAGTGGTCAAATCACTTGAAGACATTTTTGCAATATTTTTCATCATTCATTGTTTACTACAGCTGCAGCCAAAAATATGCTTTCCTTTTTTTACTCTGAACTGAGTCCTGTAGCAAGCGAAGGGACCAGAATATTTCTAAATAATGGATATTATGAATTTCTTTGTATTTTACCATATCACTGTAAAGAAGGGGGAAACCCAGACTAGTTTACTTTTATTACGTCTTACTCATAATTTTATATTTTTAAACTGATTTCCCCAGAAAAATGCTGTTTTCATTAATCAATTCTGCTATGATTTAAATAGAAAGTGAACAGAGCCCTTTTTCATTAAAGACCCTCCTACTGTGTGAAACGATGATATTTACAAGGAGTTTGTTTCAAATGAATTGACTCAATGTTGACTAGATGTTCTATAATGGTCTAGAAGAATCTGTTATTAAAATATTTCTGTGAAAAATTTTATTCCATTCAGTTGAATCATTAAGTGGAAAAATTAAGATCCTATTTGTTGGTCAAGAGTGATGGGCTGATTTCAGTGGGTAAATCTATTGTGATATATTACGTGGTGAAATATTGCTCTTTGAGAATTTATATTTAAGTTAACAAGTGTGTGGTCTCTCTCCTTCTGATAAGTGTTTCTTGTTGGGATTTTAAAGTTATGTGCACAAAATATTTGCCTCCTCTACGTGTCTTGTATTTCTATTTACATTCTGTTTTGTTGCTAGTTTTTATACATGGGATAGATCTTTTTTCCTAATGCACATTTGAACTGAATAACAAATTTAAAGGAAGCATTTGCTCACATTGCTTTACTTATTGTGTTTGGGGGTGGGGCCATGAAGGACCAGGTTCAAACAAAAACACTCCATCTTTATTTAACATCAGCATCAAAATCAGAAGACAATTATCTATCTTTCTCGTCTATATATATATTTAAGTACTCTTTTGTAATGTAGTAATCAACGTTTTCTAGTTATTGCAAAATTTTACAAATCATTCTGAGGATTATATGGTGAAACTAATTTGATGAAGTGGAAAGTATTCTGCAATATTGTAATTCATAGTTTGACTTTTCATAAGTAAATAAATCCCTAGGCTGTAATCAGGACTTCAAATGTGTAATTAAGATTTTTTAATCCATTGAATCAGGAAGGCTTAAATACCTTTTACGCTCCAAGCTGACAAGCCCATGGTAGCCCAAAAACTCATAATTCACTATCTCTAAAGGAATTTAAGGAGATTCACAGTCATGGTCCTCCTGTTGTTCATTGATTTGCTCGAGCGGGCCCAGTAACAGCTCCATCATGAGACTTTGTTTTTACTGTGTTTGGCATATTGAATACGTCACGGGTAGCTTGTCGGGCTCTCCGAGAGGGGCGGAGGAATCGAACTCGGGTCGGCCATGTTGGCTGCTTGTAAGGCAAACGCCCTACTGCTGTGCTATCGCTCTAGCCCTAAGGAGATTAAGAAAACTATTTTTCTCTTACCTCTAGACAAGCATACCTGGTATGGATATTTGAAAATTACAATGGTAGACTCTATTCCACTTTGCAAATATAATTCTGACCAAAGAGAGTGTACAGGGAGGAAGGCGCTCGCCTTGCCTGAACCCAACCCCCGTTCAATCCCTGGTACTACAAATGGCATCCTAAACACACAAGGGGTGATATCTGAACACAGAGCTAGTAGCAAGCCATTATCACGACTGAGTGTGGACAAAAACCAAAGTACAAAAAAAATAAAGCAAATATAAGAGCATAATAATTCTGAAGACAACAGAGAAACTTCTGTGACTGTGGAGCTGAAAATTTGTCATTATTCAATGTTCCTGAGTTCTTTTCAAGTGATCCAAGGGTGAAATATATTCAAATAAAATTATTTGATAAGTTTCTCACATCCATTTGAATTTGTAGCTTAAATTTTCAGCTGGATTTCAAGTAAGAATACGTAAATATAAGTAACAACAATAACAAAAGAAACAAGGTAAATCAGTGCCTTTTCTAATCCCAATAAAGCAATAGATTCTTTAAGTAATGTAAATATATAAATGATGGAAGGATTATTTTTGTTTGTTTGTTTTGGGGTCATACCTGGCGATACTCAGGGGTTACTCCTGGCTCTGCATTCAGGAATGACTCCTGGCAGTCCCTGGGGGACTATATGGGATGCTGGAAATCAAACCCTGGGGGGCCACGTGCAAGGCAAACGCCCTACCTGCTGTGCTATCGCTCCAGCCCTGAAAGGATTATTATTAATGAAAAAAGAACTGAGACAAATAATAATGATTTAAATGCTCTGCATGTGTTAGCTAATTTTATACTGGTTTCTTATTGTTGGAGGGAGTTCTATTAGTATTCAATTCAAATTTTACAAATGAGGATGTTGAGGCTCAGAGATATGAAGCAATTTTATTAAGCTTGCATAAATATGAAGAAGGTGGGTGGAAAATGACAAAAAATACCTGGTCTGTAGCTTCCTATTATAAAAATCATTTTCATGATGTACATATCTTCTTAAATACACACTGATATATACTAAAACTTGAAGGGTATTACTTGACTAAAGAAGAAAAATCACTGATCAATCTGTAATTGGAAAGGCTACACATTCAAGATGGATTGAATAGAAAACATGAGACTTCTCAACTGGTTTCTTGACATTTTGACCATGAAACTGGGATGTGAAGCCTTTTTACCCACTAAGATTCCTGTTAACACTGAAATTTCATCTTAATTGCATGGAAAGAAGAATGAATTGTATTCTTCAATTTTCAGAGCACAGGTTTGATTTGCAAATAGAATCTGCATGTATTTTCCCGTGGATCAAAACAGATTTCCAGGTCAGGGATGTAGTTCCATGGGAGAGCAAATGCTTTTCACATAAAAGACTTTAGGTTAGTCCTTTGCACAAAATCAAATTAAATTAAATATGAAACAAAAGTGGGGACCGGGGAGATAGTCCAATCAATAAAACACACATTTAGCATATACATGGTGTAAGCTCTGGTCACAGCAACACATTATCCCTGAGCACCACTGAGTAAGACTCTGGTGACTCCAGAACCTATGAACATGATTCTGGCAAAACCCTTGGCCACGAATCAACTGAATTCTGCCAACTCGCATCTGGGTGAGCTCTGTCAGGAATGGCCCAGGACTCTAAGCATGGGTGGTGTAGTCCCTATAAGAAAAAAACAAGCAGGCTTTCTATTTCAACAAAAGTCACTTAATCCCGTCTTTAGGACCCATCTTTATTGACACCTACCAGCTGAATGTGCCAAGTTATTCAACAAAGATGAGTCTCTCCATAGAATATCTATGCTTCCAAATGACTCATTATCAACGTAGCACATCCCATCAAAATCGATATTGATTTCATATTCCCTGAATTACAATTATATTAAGTAAAAAGTAAAGTAAGTAAGTAAAGGCCCTCCCGTTGATCATCGATTTGCTCGAGCGGGCCCAGTAACGTCACCATTGGAGACTTTGTTGTTACTGTGTCTGGCATATCGAATACTCTCGGTAGCTTGCCGGGCTCTCCGAGAGGGGCGGAGGAATCGAACTCGGGTCGCCATTTTGGCTGCGTGCAAGGCAGACGCCCTACCCGCTGTGCTATCGCTATATTCCTCAAAGGTAAAGGCCCTCCCGTTGATCGTCGATTTGCTCGAGCAGGCCCAGTAACGTCTCCATTGGAGACTTTGTTGTTACTGTGTCTGGCATATCGAATACTCTCGGTAGCTTGCTGGGCTCTCCGAGAGGGGCGGAGGAATCGAACTCGGGTCGGCCATGTTGGCCGCTTGTAAGGCGAACGCCCTACCCGCTGTGCTATCGCTCCAGCTTCCAAATAGCTAAAATTAAAAACATTTTAAAGATTCTGGAGAAAGTCATGGAGGAGGCCCTGTTAAATATTGTCTAATAGTAATGATAATGAAGGAGTCATAAAATAACTTATGGAGACATTCAGACTGCCAGCACGTTAGTCTTTTCTCATTGCTGTGTCTGACAAAAAAGGAAGTCATTATATGAAGCAGTTATATAACAAATATTTATCTGCAATATGTCAAGTTATAAACCTTTTACTACATTCCTGTGAATGAAGCAACTTGACACTAAGTATTCCACTGACATTAACAGAGAAAGCTACAGACAGCAAAATAAAAATATGATCAACAGCTTGAAGTGAGTTAAAAACAATAATCTTAAAGAAATTGTTATTTCAGATACAAAATTAAATCTTTCTTCTTCCCCAGCATAACACTGAAATGAAGCAAGTAAGTTCTGATACTTTATCATTGTGCTGGTGGGGAAAAAGAGGTGGTTAGATATTTGACCTTGTCCCTTCTTTACCTCTACTTTTTTACCTTTTTCTCTGAAAAGAAATTTTGTTTAGTAATAGTCATCTCAGAGTTATGCAGTACCATTCTGATGTAGAAACTCAGTGGAAATTTTGAATCAAAAAACAAAGTTTTGGAACTCTTAAAAATTTAAGTTAAATTTGTTCAACCCTTCTGTATTTGAAGCAACTATAAAAAATAATGAATAGCATATACAGCCTTCTCTCATAAGAATAAATTTTTAATAAAAAAGAAGGGTTGAACAACACCTGTGATAAAGAGAATAATTAAAACTCCTGCAGCTAGTGAGGCAGCTGCAAACACCGACACTAACCTCCTTCCCCTGGTACCAACACAATAGGCAGTCCCTGTGCCATCCTTATTTTTGACAGAAATATCCTTTTGGAACAACTAACAGTGGTTGTCACTAATCATCACGTAACTCCTGTGACTAACAGCTAGCAATACTGAGGGGGGAAAAAATCACAAAGTTCAGACTTGTGGTTGATACGGCATGCAAATAATATCCTTTACTTTTCAGGAATTGTAACGATACGGAACTTTTTTCACAGTTTTTGCTATTTTTTTAATTTACTGACTGAGGTTCTGTGGGTTACAATATTGGTAATGACGGTCCCCTGTGTACATAATTCCAACATCACACCCATTGTCTCCTCCCTGAGGGTCCCAATGTTCCTCTTTTCAACCCCCCTCAACTCCGACAAACTCAGTTTTATGAATCTGTCCTCGTGTTGCCTTTGGCCCTTTATTGCTACCTTGCTATGTTCTGTCTTTATTTCTCACTTATAACCTAAGAATTAAGAACATTTTGCTTCAACAGTTGACTTGGGTGATGGAGTGTACTGGCCCTTCAGTTATCTTTCCCACTTTTATGCCTATATCTGCAAGGTTTCAGCCGTCTATCAGGGAATCATCCCCCGTGCTCTAAATTTTTTCACACATTCTCTGCCTGAGTTTTCCTTCTCTGATCTCTGGGCTTGACCTGGCTGATAACAAATTCACTCTTCAAAATTCAGCTCCGAGGCTGGAGCAATAGCACAGCAGGTAGGGTGTTTACCTCGCACGCAACTGACCCAGGTTCGATTCCCAACATCCCATATGGTCCCTTGAGCACCACCAGGGGTAATTCCTGAGTGTAGAGCCAGGAGTAACCCCTTGTGCGTCACCAGGTGTGACCCAAAAAGGAAAAAAAAATCAGCTTCACTGAGCCAGGGCCAGAGTTTCCTTGCATGTGGCTAACCTGGGTTGCATCCTTGACACCCCATGTGGTTGTCCAAGTTTGCCAGAAGTGATCCCTGATTGCAGAGATGGGAGAAAATCCTGAGCACAGTTGGATGTGGCAAAGACAAAACAATTTTTTAATAAAATAAAATTCAGCTCAAACTTCATCTGCATAGGAGATTCTACCTGAGCTCCCCAGAGCCAACCTACAGTTATAGCTCTTTTAACTTTTGGTAATACCCAAGGTCATACCCCTCTATAAAAACACCTATCACTCACATAAATTTATATTTTAGTCAGCTTTATTTAATTTATATATTCTTATCCTCTAGTCCGATATAATTTCTGGTACATAGGAAAGGTACTGATAAATTAACAAAACAAAACTTATTAAAGTAAATAACTAATCTTTAATTAAAAGTTGGCCGAATAAGTAGATTTCTCTGATTGTGACCAAATGACAAAAAGTACGTGGGAAAACCATTCACTATTAATCTGGTCCTTTGACTGTAGGTTCTTGTGACCTGGCA